GTGTGGTTTGTTTTGTGTTTTTTTTTTTTTAACCTGATTGCAGGGAGAGAGTGAGGCACATGCAGCGGTGCTGCATGAGGGCCCTTCGCCTCCCTCCTCCTGCTGATTTTTGGGATGTATTGGCCATTTTTAACCAAATTCGACAAGAAAAGGGTGGCAGCTGCAAACTCGCACATCTCCTATAGGAATAAGTGTTCCAGGGGAGAAGAGGGACTGCAGCCAAGTCTCCTTCACCACTTCCAATTACAGGAAGAAGGCTGGTGTGTGAATTCAGCTGTTGTTAGGCACCAGAAAAACTTCTCAGCTAAGCTTTCTGACCTGTGTCAGTTTTCTGATGACACATCATGAAGGCCGCTTTCACACTCCTTTCCTTTCAATATCTAAATTAAAAGCTTAGCCGTGGGCACACATCTGCTGGACATGCAACTGCCGTGGTTGCAATGCTCATAGTACCACCTGCTACACAGTGTCACTGCAGCCATACGCTTGGGTTAATACCTAGACTGTAGTCTTCATTGTACTAGCCTGATTGCCTTGTATAAACAATGCATGCCTTACAACAACTATGCCCTTGAAGAAGAACTAAAAGACTGATAAAAGGGGAACATCTTGCCCTAGAAGATGTCGGAGGCTAGATGATTGCCAAAGAAACAAGAAGTCAGCAAAAAACCTGCCGTAACTAGGGGAAAGGTAAAGACGGCAGGGGGAGATCGCAACCACCGACTCAATTCAAGACTGGGAAGACTTGCCCCCCCACACCTGCAAGGAGCATGCGTGCGAATTTACATGGCAAGTGAGGCTAATCTGAACACAACTAACCAATGAGCATGAACTTAGGCGGGCTTTTACTAATCATGTAACAATATAAATACACTGTAGTTCTTTTGTGTGGTGTGCTAGCTTTGTGGAATTACCACCTAGCACCCATCTTTGTGCAAACATGAGATAAATAAATATCTCGGCTCTGTGTGTAAGATTGGCTTATTGCACACTGGGTACCGGACCCGGCCTGTGGGACAACATCACTGCACCCTCTTGCACTGCAGCTATGGCACCAGACCGTGGCCAAGCAATGTGCTCACCCTCTGGGAGCTCACAAACTCCTTAGAAGGGGGACCACCTTTTTAGTTTTTTAAGTGTCTTCCTCTTCGGGTCATTTCATCACTCCTGGTGCTGCATCACAGAGGCACGCTTTAAATGATGGTAAAACAATGATGTAAAATACCATTATTTAAGTCAGACTGGCAGCAGTTGGCATGGGGACTGTTAAAGCGGATGATGATTCTCATTGAACAAGAATCCTGCCCTGCTTCCTTCTTTTGCCAGTCAGGTTCTGTTGCGCCTTTCCCCTCGTCTTGTCTTATTTCCTGCTTGTCCTATGAGATCAGGAAGGGAGTGACAAAATGAGAAGCTAGACAAGTACATTGAACAGAAGAACAGCTCTACTAGATCAGTTAGAGGTTCATACAGATCTGTAGCCTGCCTCTGACAGGCCGTCAACACATGCCTAGGAAGCAATGTGAGAGGCTGTAGCATTACTGTCCTTCATCCCTCCCTTCCAGGGTCCACTGATTAGATTTCCTGAAACACAGGAAAAGTTCTATTCACTTTCTTTGTTCAATTTCTGATTTTATATCCACTGATCATACACCCCTTTGTCTTTTCCAAACGGAAAAGTTTTGGCCTATTTTAGTCTTTTGTTGTACGGAAGTAATTCTATAGCTTGGGCTGTCTTTGTCCTCCTTTGTTCCTTAAGACAGTTTTTCCTTAAGGGGCAGACCTGCAGATGGTATGCAAGATGTGAGTGCATCAAATGTGCACAGTGGCTTTTCAGTGTTTTTTGTTTTGTCTTCTTTCCTAATAGTCCCTACTGTTTGATTCTGTTGATTACTTTTGAGGCTGGAGTGTCACGGTTCATTTAGATATCTCAAATTTACAGGACAACATAATCTGTAAATTTAACTTTATTTTATGAGCTCATTAGGAAAGAAAACAAACAAGGGCTCAGTCCTCCTTTGTACAGACTTGTCTAAAATATGAATTCACTAACTCATTACTTCATTAATTCATGAAGTTTCTAACTCACAGGTTCTCTAATTCATAAATCTTAACTCGTGCACCTATGAGCGAAATAGTTACCTAGCTGAGGGTGAGAGTGCTCGTCCTTCCTCCTCTGTCGCGGTGTGGGCATCCCCTGTATCGCACCAGGAAGCACAAAAGCCTCAGCAGTTTGGCTGCTGTTAGATCAGCGTCAAAAGCTTTTCAGGTAAGCTGATGGTATTTATATCTCCTAGCTTGGAATTTTGATCTGTGCCATTTCCATAAGTTAGTGGATTCTGAAGAAAATTCCAGATGATTAATATGCAAGAATGCAGGAGATGATGACTGCGGGAGACAGCAGGCTGCAGGTGGTAACGGCTGCGTAATGACCTTTATTCCTTCCTGTCCACCCTGCCCTACCTAGCGTTGCTCTCCCTTTGACCTAACGGTGCTGCTTCCAGCATATGAGTGAACGGTCACATTGGAGCTGGTATTTTCACAGAATTATCCCATTTTCCCTGGATCTCATTCCTGACCAGTAATAGTTCAGAAGCCATTGCTATCCACATGAAAATAGGATAGTTTCTGCCTTCTTGTTTAAATCTACACTGAATTTCAGCTGCTATCTCATCATCCAATGTACTATAGGGATTTCCAGCAATTCGTCATCCTTCGCCTTAATCACTATTTTCCTAAACAGTGTTCTCAGCAAATCCTGCTGCCTTATCCTCTTTTCCTGATGGTTTACGAGTATGTTGAATAGTGCAGGTCTGAGCAGGCCTGCACTGGGAGACTGCCCTCTGCTGGGAAGAACTTTTGGAAATCTAAGTCAACTGTACGAACTCTTCTGACCCTTGCCTACATATTTGTTAATGCCCTCAAATAGTTCCAATGTGTTTCTGAGGTATAAATTTAAAAAGACCTTGCTGGCTTTTCCTTCGTATGTTCTATTTCCAACACCTTCTGTTCCAAATTGTAGGTTTCAGTGATTTGGCTTCCTGCTCTGCAGTTCTCTGGATCCCCGCTGTGATCCAGGTACCACATTTGCTAGTTTCACGTCCTCTGGTGGCTAGGCACTCCTAAGTGAGTGTTCACACACCACAGATGAGAATTGACAAAATCACGGAACAGTTGAGGTTGGAAAGGACCACAGGAGGTCATCTGGTCTGAACCCAAATTCAGCTATTTCATCCCGGAGTTGTTCAGAACAGGGGTGGAAGCCTCCTAATTCTGGCGTGTTGTCAAATGTTTTCAAATTGTTGCATAACTATATGTACTGCCCCATCAGTAGGAGATATCTTGACTGAACCAACACTTAGGGTACCCTCCCACGTTCATAAACAGCACTGAAGCCAGCACGGTACTAGGCAGCTCCCATTCTCCCCAGTAGGCCTCCATTTACTTTTACTGTCCAGAGCCCTAAGTCCATCCTATCTAACTGGCTCCTCGCCTCTTACATCTTAAATACCTGTCCCAGCATCACTGTGCAGTCCAGGTAGCTGTTTGAACTGTGTCTCCCCTCCAGACATTTTTTCCTCGTGCTTCTGAAAAACAACACTCATTTGGCAGAAATGCGGTGGTTTTTTTGTCATAAAATTTGTATGAAAGACTAGGCCAATGCAGAGGTTAACCTTATAGAGGGAGAAGTACAAAAGAGAGCAGTGTAAGGTCAGGGTTGGAGGGGTGTTTGCAGGTAGCTTTACACCATTGCAATTCATTCCAATGTGTTGGTGTGTGTATCACAAGGAAGTTCACATTGCTGTTCCCGCTTTGCAGCTAGAATGAGTTTTTCGAGGCTCTGGAGCAGAGCTATCATTCTGTCTCTTTTCATGAGAACAAAAGTAAAACTAGGAAAACAGCCGATGATTGATGCAGAGAGATTTGCAGAGCTGCCCTTGAATGTAAGTACCTTCCCATCCCCAAATGCCTACTCGAAGTAAATCATAGCTTATTCCTTCTCACACAAGTTTCTTGTAGTTTGTTTTGTGGCATGTTCCTCAGGAAGAAAAAAAGTACCTCTTTGATTTGATAGAACTTCCCCACCTATGAATTATATATAAGCAAAATTGTATTTTCTCCTTCTTTAGAAGAATTTTCTGCTAATGGAAAAGTCAATTTTCATTTGTAAAATTAAATACCTCCAATGTAAGAAAGGGTTACATGAGACCTCAAGGGCATATAACGCAAGTGGCTCCTCTTCACTTCTCAGATACCCTAATTAAAGGTAAGGCTGGAACTGTTTTCTTAAATGCCATTGTAGCATAATTGCGTATAAGCTATTCTACCTACAGTTTAGGACCGTTTTGTGCATTGGCCCTGTAAAAAGCTCCCTTTAAGCAGTTTCTATGGTTTCTGAACAGCTGCTGGGCTCAGAGTACATGGATTTTTAATAATTGTAGGACTTCAGGTACTGCAGTTTCAGTGAGCCACCTTTGTTAACATCTGATGTATTGGTGCTATGAAAACTTTACTCTAGAAATTTTCAAGTGTCAGTCATTAGACTAATATTATTTTTAGGAACAGTTGATGGATGCTTGTGTTAATTTGAATTGCGACATCATTTCATCATCTTGCATGCATTGATCTTCAAAATGTAGTATTTTAATGATTTTCCTGTGAATTTTTGTACACATCTTTGAAATACCCATTATCATAATAGTACATGGTGCTCCCACTTCCCACCCCATCCACCTGTGTTATCCCTTCTCCTAGCTAGCATGGTGAAGCTCCTAGCTTTGTGTTGTCTACTCTGGAAGATGATGTAAGGAAGATGGGCAGAACAAGACAGATTTTAGACACAGTTGTGAGCTAGAATGTTCTCTGGTGAAACATCACCTTCTGGTTGATATAGCTGCATTGCTGACTCTCAGGGGTTCAGAAGCTTAGAGTGTGATATGTTTGCTTGCGAATATTTTTGTTTGCCTCTCAACCTGTACTTACAGTTTGGAGGGCTAATAATTTTCCCAGTGATGGTCTGACAGCATGGTTACTTTTAAATACTTGGCTAAACCTTCAGTAATTTTGTCTGCAACTGGTCTGTTTATAATGGCTTGTATTTGCTATATATTATGTCTATGTACTACTCTAATTTAGAATCATAGAACAGTTTGGGTTGGAAGGGACCTCTAAAGGTCATCTAGTCCAACCCCCCTGCCGTGGGCAGGGACATCTTCAACTAAATCAGGTTGCTCAGAGCCACGTCCAGCCTGACCTTGAATGTTTCCAGGGATGGGGCATCAACCACCTCTCTGGGCAACCTGTGCCAGTGCTTCACCACCCTCAGCGTAAAAAATTTCTTCCTTATATCTAGTCTAAATCTACCCCCCTTTAGTTCTTCACTTATGACTTGTATTTCTGAAATCTGGACTAACTGACAACATCTCTGCATACCAAGCTTACAGCTACAATCCCAAGAGTTTCCCAGTGGCAGACTAAACTAAAAATCAACCACCCAACAGATGACACATGCCCCCGCAACTCGAAAGCAAGAAACTGGAAACTCGGTTCTGGTGCAGTACATGAGTAGCACCAGACTGTGGGGCTGTTGGCTGTCCTAGAGATCTTGCAGCCTCTGCGAAGAGCAGGATAAATCCTCATTTTCTACTGGTACCTCAGGAAAGCTTATTTTCAGATACTAACAGTATAGTCTGGACAGGATATAGGACAAACTGTCTATTTTATAAGAACAGGCCAGCCTAATGGTATATGCAAAAATTTGTATTGTGTGCAGTTTGCTTTGTTGCATAAATGTGTTTCAAGTGGCCTTGCTTCTGAAAATAAAAATAATTTGGGGCTGAAAATTCACAGTACAGTTAGTGATACTGTTATTTGTCATTGGCATACCTCTAGTTTTATTCTGTTGAAGTTTTAGTTACTTGGTGCAGGTGCAAATGTCTCTTTATTGTGCAAGCCATAGGCTATTGTTCTTCTCAGCTTCATACCATCAAAAAGGTATTGTATTCACACAGACTCATTGCCTTCTACGCTGGCTTCCTCCATCTTTCAGAAACCTCCTAAGAACCTCTCTTCTAGACTCTTCCTTCCTCTACCGATCACATCTCCCCTACTTTATTCTTGTAAGGACTGAGTCGTGCACTCCGAGGTCTGATCCTAAACTCATGAAGGTTAATGTGGGAGAGAATCTTTCCATTACTTTTGAGGCCACAGGTCTCATTCCTGGTGGCTGTTTCCTTATTTCAGTTTTTCAAGAGGCTCATTTCTTGTTAGAAAAGCAATGCAGAGCCCTGTCAGCTCACATGTAGACATGCCCCTAAAACTTGTGTGTTTGCTGGAACTAAGCCTCTGAAGCACATCTCTCTTCCAGGACTTCTTCACAGGGTTAATGACTCCTTTAATACTACAGTGATCCTCAAATGAGCAGTAAGTGAGCCATATCCTGAGCAGCAGTATTTTGATTGACCCATGGAGAAGCTGTGTGAATGGTTGTATATATGCTGGCTACAGCTATACAGAATGCCCTTAACAAGTGGCTCTGCATGGTTTTGTCCAAATTTCTTCCATGATCATTTTTATACCTGTGAAAATATCTTAGCCCACAAAGTCACTCCTTTAAAGGACAGGGAAGATGTCATGATTATGATGGGGGGAAAAAACCAAATCCATTGATTTCAGCTAAGTTTTTATGTTCCTGTTTCTCTTCAGTTAGACTAGAAATTCGAGGTGAAACTTGTGC